TAAAACTTGCACAGCCTGGTCAACATCGACTGACAGCCGATGGGCGCCCATTTTAGTTGGAAGTCGTACTCATGAACGCCAGAAAGGAGCGGCTTGACGATTACACTCCTCTTGGTCTTGAACGCTGCATGACCAATCGGGTCGCCGAATTTGAATGACGTTTCCATGGTGTTAGGTATGCCGGAATGACCTTGGAAAAGTTTTCACAAAGAGTCTTCACGTCTTTGTGGATGTATAGATCCGAAACCAGAGGATTTTAGGTCCTCAGGCGGACAGGGCTGTGGACTGAACCGAACGGTCTTCAAAAGGTTCATTTCAGTTGAAAACCCATACAAATGCGGCACATCTTTTAAAGGGAATGTGTCACATTTGAAAATATCAAATACAGCATCAGATATGATGAAACAATCTGACTTAAATTATCGGTAAACTTTTAAGAGGAAAGACTGTTCAAGACGACGCCACTTTTTTGTAGTAAATATGCTCCCCGATACGTCATTGTTTGATAACGTGATCTCGAAATCGTGCTCACGAACGCCAGATGTGAACGACTCCAATATTACACTTTTCTCCGCCTTGCTCGCCGCATGGGCTATGGAAAGGCAGGATGTTGGTGACGGTATTGTGACGTCACGAATGCCAAGGTGATCCAGAAGTACTGTCTCCGAAATTCTCTCCATTTTCGCGGTGTGTAACTCAAAAACCAAAAGAGTTTAGGTGTTAAGACGGGCAGGGCTGTGAACTGCATCAAAAGGTCTTTAAGGAGGCCATTTCGGTTGAAAACCCTTACACATCGGGATCACTCCCTTCCAGGTTTCCGAATGTTTGTTAGTTGTTTGGTTATTTATATACCTTTGTTGAAGTTCCTGCATGCACAATACACATCATCTCTCACGTATGGGTAATCCATTTAAATATATGCCAAAGAGTATAACATTCTAGTCGCTCGAAAATTCCGAGTATGGCCGGATGAATTTGAATTCGGACGGCAGGATCTGAAAAAACCGGCATATGACGCAGACACGCAAGTTTTCCGAAGCGGCTCGTCCAACCGCCTTGGAACCTTCATCAATCGATTACGTGCGATAAGGTGAGTCATGGGGGACAAAATGGATATGTGACCTGAGGTCAAACACCTCGAAAACGTGAAGGGAAAAATTTACATGCAAATGCAGACATCTCAGATCTCAGAGCTTACTGGACCGATCGCCGTAAAACCTTCCCCATTGGATAGCCCATGCCTGATCCCCTCTCTTAATTCAAATTTGGTGACCCTATATCAGGTCAAGAGTAGTCAATTTTCACAATGTCCAAAATTGCTGCTTGTGGACCACTTAAAGCTCAAAATCTATCACGCCCATGACTGTCAAACCTTACCATTCTGCACGCCGTCTACCCAAAGTCTTTTCCAAAGTCAATCCCAAAGTCTTTGCAAAAACTATAAGCATGGTACCGCTTATAATTATGTCTTTCCTTTATCCTTGTTCCCAAGAAAAAGTGCAGCTTGGTTGGGCTGGCCTTATGAGGTTGAATAACTCCTCAGCGGAGGCGTTAATCGTGGTGACACCAAGCTCAGAGCATGATGTTCAGCACACCTCCACTACGGAGAAATTCAATCTCATAAGGCCAGCCCAATCAAGCTGCACATGTTTTTTTTTGGGGGGGGGGACGAACACAAAGAGAAAGACAATTATAAGTGGCACCATACTGCAATTTTCAACAGAGAATTAGGGTAGATGGCGTTCTGAGTGGTAAGGTTTGGCAGCTACCCGCGTGATAGATTCAGAGCTATAATTGACTGCACGAAGCAAATTCAGACTTTGTGAAATTTGACGGATTTTGACCTGACCCAGGGTTACCAAATTTGGAACCGCAAACAGGGAATCAGGTGTGGGGCATGCATCGGTGAAGGTTTGGCAGTGATCGACTCGGTAGGTTTTGAGCTATGAGGTATCTGCAAGAAAGAATTTCGGATTTTGTGAAATTTGACGACCTTTAACCTGACCTAGGGTCATCAAATTTGGAACTGCAAACAGAGAGTCAGGTATGGGGCATGCAGTGGTGAAAGTCCCACAGTCATGGGTCCCGTAAGCTCTGAGATCTAAGCTGTCTGCATTTGCATGTAAAGTTTTCCCTTCACATTTTCGGTGCTTGACCTCAGGTCAGATCTCGATATTGTCTCCCCATGACTCACCGCACGGCACGGAATCTATCGGAACAGGTTTTAAAGCGATCGGACGAGCCGTTTCGGAAAATTTGCGTGTCTGCGTATTGCCGGTTTTTTAGGCCCTTCCAATCGGGCTACTGGGCCGCTAGGTTTCCAGAATCTCTCAAATGGCAACTCTAGTCACTTAAATGCAGGGGCAGGGGAATTTTACGCAAAGCTATCGAACTCAAAGCGCGCATATTTATGCTTGCTAAGACTTTGTTGGCTTAGGTCTGGATTTAGACAGAGGTTTAGACGCACACACTGCTCTTTTCGGACGCCTGTTAATTGTACGTGGCGTCATCTAAACGCAACACAAACGTTGACACGAACATGGCAAGTAATCCAGCACGCAATTCGTTACGTGGGCCTCACGTTCACTCACCGTGTGGACTCCAGGCCGGTCGCCTGGTTGACCTCCAGGCCCACAGCAGGACAGCTGCCAGGACGAGCACCAGCCAGAGGTACATCTTTTCGACCGCACTTGACGGTGTTCCTCTAACACAGTGCAAACAGTAGACTGCGCAGCCGGACTACCGCCAATCTCGACTCCGCCTAGCGGTCTTGAAATCGGTGCACCCTGACGGGCTGCAACCCGGCTGGCGAGTGGCTGTTATGTCGCTGCTCCTCACTATTTGCAGCGTCATACGGACCAGCATTTATGTTTGGACGCATGCTTACCGAATGACGTCTGCCCTGATTGAGGGGCGTAGCCAGGCGCACCTAGTTCGGCACATTCCACACCAGCCGCTCACAGAAAGGATTGCTGTTCTTGTTTGTTGGTGCTGTCAGGCGCGTCGACTGAAATGGTCATTTTTATCCCAGGGGATTACTGTTCGCTGATAGGTATTCAGTAGATTTGTAAATATTCGGGTCACTCAGAACGTCGTAGCACGGTCCTATAGATCTATAGGTAAGATACGAAGTACAATAGGCGTTCATGATTGCAGGCTCTAAACGTGTTGCATTGAGTGTGCATTTCCCACCCCATTTCATTCGAGGACATTTCCTATTAAAAGTATTAAATATGAATACACAAACTTTGTAGCAAGGTCCTGCTGATGTGGGAAACCATAATAAAGTAATAATATTCCTGGTATAGTTCTAAAACCAGATGCCATATCTGAATTAAGTATTCAAATATCAGTTTCAATGTTTCCGGATGCTACGAATTATTGAAAGACAAGTTATGTCCAGGGGCTGAGCCTCCAACAACAGTTTTATATGTTAACCCTTCATGGAACGAGCCCAAAATCGACATTACAAAGGCTTTTCAAACCCGTAAAATCTGGAGCACCACGTACACTTTGTTATTGGTCTTTGCCAGAGGTCAACAAGTTTCCGACAAAAATGGACACTTTTGCGAGCAAACTGATGGCAAAATTGTCAAACGGGAACAACTGCAACAGATTAACTTATATTGCGACGAACAATCTCATTTAGACAGAACTCAGTACTTTGCCAGGCCTTAATAAGGGCAGGGCTGTGAACCCCGCCGAATGACCTTCAAGATGGCTCTTCCATTTCAAAACTCCCTACAAATGTGGAACACTCTTTCATTACTGAATAAGAAAGGCATTGGTGATGAGTGGCAACCGCCTGATACTTGGGCCAATCACAGGCCAGGCTTTGGGAGCTGCATAGCCAAGACTTTTCGGCTTAATTTAACATTTCATTCGTAACTGGTAATTAAGTGCATCAGATCGTCGCGGGCCTGACATGAATCACGTGCGACGCATGCTCACACTAAATGTCTCTCGGGCTGTTCAGCCGAGATACCGCATGGTATGACTTGCTCGTGCCGACAGTGAATCAAAACAACACAGTGATGATGGTTGATGATGTGCGATGTCTGCGGTTTGAACGCGCCATAACAGAAACGTGCACGTATCCGATAAATAAGGCACTCTTTGGTGGTGTTATGTTTTTCGCGTCACAGTATATTCTGCGTGCATTTGGAACTGGACCATAAAAAAGAGCGGCTGGGTCATGGTCGTCTCACCTTAGTGCGTCGAAGATCGGGGACATGAGAAACGCTGCATAATACTAGACTGAATCTTTATGTTATGACTTTATTTTCTCGAACGCAAATCGTTCAACTTTGCTTTGACATAATCATCTCAAGTGCAAGCGGCGACAAATGCATACATACACGTTGTATGTACATATTAGTCATCTACGACTCATTCATTGCAAGCTCATTAGTCCTACATCTAGGCCACGTCAAACCAGTCAGAGCTTCCCACACAGGGCCATCACAACACCTACCTACGTCAGCCTACAATCAGAGCTGCACTAGTCTTACACTTTGAGTTGTAATCAAGGTCAGCAGGTCACTGGGTGGGGGGGGGGGGGGATGGAGCGGGGTCGGTGGGGGTGCGGCGCTCCGGTTCGCTCCAACGACTGGCCTTGTAACGCCACTTCAGAATCAGAACAAGATAAAATATTGCGTTTACATCCCCCTCCAACAAACAAAAGAGAACACAAAAAAGAGCGGCGACGCATTTATAACCTGAACGATCGCAAGTAAAAAAATGGTCGGATGCCATTCCACTTCAACACATGTGCATGCCCTTCAGGGATTTACCGGCGCGGGCTAGTATTGCTCGTCGCCGCCTATTAAATGTCAACTACCGGCAGCCCATCCAAGTTACAGGCAATGTAAACAGTCAGCGTTAGCGCAAGTAATGAGGTTTTGTGACGGATAGTCATTGCGCTAAATGTAATGGTTACTGAGATTTGGAAGTGCAGTTCCGATGAAGTCAACAGAAACAAGGTTCAAAGGTCTCTCAGGAATCACTAATCCCCCACGTGCGTGTGGTGCTCAAAGATCACAGGTACCATAGCGTGCAAACGCGCGCGCGTGTGCCCCGTATTTTCGGGTGGGGAAGGCAGCTGCCCCCTGTCCCTCTCCGTTCCTGTGCTTCAGCGCCTTTCCGGGATGAGCTTGTACGGTTTGGGTTCGCGAAGGAACGAGTGTGCTGGGTCTTCGTCGAAGTCGTGTGTGAACCCTTCTGGCCAATGAAAGGTAAAGGTTTGCATGAAGCATGCAAGGAAGAGGAACAGCTCTGCCCGCGCCACACTCTCGCCCACACACCGTCTCTTGCCCACTGAGAACGGCATGACGTTCTTATCCGGCTGGAAATTGCCGTCGGCGTCCAGGAAACGCTCGGGCCGGAACTGCAGCGGCTCGGGGAACAGACGCTCGCTGCGATGCGCACTGTGCACGTTGGCCATGACCTGGACGCCGGCTGGCAGCCGGTATCGGCCGACATCGACAGGCGCCATTGACTGGTGCATCACGAGCAGGGGTGTGATGTCGGCCAGTCTCTGCGTCTCCAGCAGCACGGCCTCGACGTACGGAAGACGCGACCTGTCCGAGAGGGACGGCAGCCGCTGCCGGCCCACCTGGCCGTCCAGCTCGGCCTGCAGACGCCGCTGCACCTCCGGACGGTTGCACAGGAAGCAGAATGCCCAGCGCAGTGTCGCAGCCGTCGTGTCGTTGCCGGCGAGAAACAGGTCCATCACCAAGATGACAAGGTGCCAGTCGGTTAGCAGGTCCGGTCGCTTGCGCTGCTCTTGAAGCATAGCCTCCATATAGTCACGAGGCTCACTGGACACGTCAAGATCGTCCCTATGTTGTTTGATCGAGGGCATGAATGCGTCCTCCAGTAAATTGTCAAATTCCTTCTCGACCTTTGCCCTGTTGAAAACAAAGCTTGCCAGCACGTTGCTTAGCCATGGAACGGCATCAAGAATTTCCAAGCGCAGGGCAATGTCAGTACCTTCTGAAAGTTTATTGATAGTGTTCAGGACCGTGGTGTCGGTGAAGCTCAGCTCCTCCGACGCAACCAGCTTCCAGATGATGTTGACCACGGCGACGTTCAGAGATGAGTCAAAGGCAAGCTCAGAGCCGCAATTCGGGGCCAGAATCTCGTCCATGTAACTGGTGATCTGATAGTGCATGTACTCCTCCAGTTCGGACTTTCCCATGCCCAAGTTGCGCAGGTGATGAAGCGTGAGAAGTTTTGACTTCTGCCACAGCTCACCCTGAGAAGAAATCAGCCCCTTTCCTCGTACTACGAACTTGAAGAACTCAGTGTCGGGTCGGCCGCTGAGCTCAGGTCGGCTGAAGGCTTCTCGGATCAAGTCGGGATCGCTGATCACAACCTGGTGCAGGACGCCCATCTTGACATAATAGATGTCACCGTACATCTTGGCCCATGCGGCATAAGTGTGGTGGGCATGCTTCAAGTCCACGGAGAGCAGATTTCCCACCCATGGAACCAGTGGTGGCCCTGTAAATGAGGAGGATTGATGTCTCAAAACGGGAAAATTCCACATACATTTTTGTCTTAGTCCACTACCCCGAGTTTTCGCATGGTTGATCACACAATCAACCTTCTATTGACGGTTCCACTTCACCTTTGTTTGACCAATTTGCATCCTATAGTGGGATACCACTCAGGTGGGTAGTGAGGGAATACCTGAGATATTGAGCTACAGATCGCCAAGCTCGCGAAGACGTGCACTTTTCGGGGAGATTATGTTAAGGTAATCCAGGCATTAATGACGCTATCATGAGACCATTCAAATCCTTCCACAGGGATGAAAAAATCAGTGCCGACGTAACATATAAGTGGTGACACATTGCTCTTCCAATGCCTCTCAGATCAGCACTTTTCACGGATTGTTCAGCCAAGTCACTTCACACACACTGAACAGCATAAAATACCAATCAACTAGGCATTTTGCTAATCGTAGGAATCGTGGCTGGCGACAACACCTTGCGACAAACGTGATCAAACTGCCGTGCGGCGTTTTAAAGCGTCGTGCCATTTGAGACAGCTCGCCACGCAGTACTCGAATCATTTCAATATAAGTCTTCAGGGCTGTGGGCTGCTGTTGATTGTCTTTATGTCGGATAGAAATTAACTGGCTCGAAAAAACATATACAATCGTCAGTTTTTTTAGGTGCTGTGCGGAGTTTTCTAAGGATCTACCATGGAGGAAGTGTCTGATAACAACGTTGAAAAGCCCTGCCCGTCTAGGAGGCTTGTTGTTTGTGGATACCTAAACCGCAGCTTCGGAGGTCAACGGAGGATAGTGGAGGGAACATTGCAATGGTTCATCCGTGGCTCCCTGCTACTATGAGGAACAACGGTTTTAAGGTAAAGGTCGGGCATTACTGGTGTAGGCCTTTCACGCTGCCCACAACACTTTATACTTAGCCAACTAACCGATGCACAGGCCTGAGATGAAGCGTTTTTCACTGTTATAATATGGTATAAAGAGCTAAGTGAAGGCGCTAATGTTCAAAAATGCCTTTTGCATTTGCTGATACCAATATTACATCAGTTTGGCACCAACTAATTGGGATCATATCATAAAGTGCTGGGCCTGCACAGATGTTACGCGGAGATAGTGATGGTCGCAAATGCCTTCGACGGATTGCACGATGATGTTGCAAAACCAAAAGGTGCGTTGTTCCCTGGTACTTCTAAAATCACGCTATTGCATAAGGTGGGACTAAATGGATGCATCTTTTTAAAATACATACGGGCGAGGGGGAGGGGAGGAAGCAGAAAAAGACTGAGCCTGCCCCCGAAATGCAATCAAATCAGGTTTCCCCCAGATTTGACGCACTTTCCTTTCAAGGCTGGGAGCGGGGGCATAGGTAACCAAGATCAGTTTTGGTGCGAAGTACCTTAAGAAATGACCCTTAAATAAGGAGGATAAATTACACGACCAATACAAATGGGAAACTACATCCCTGGTTAGGTTCCACAGGCCCTACCCCCACCCCAAACTGAATAGGAAACTGCTCGTCTCTAGGGCTAATCATGTCAAGTGTGTCATTACCTGATAACTCTGATAGATTAGTCCCAACCATCATTCAGTGTTTCATTTCAGAAAATGCCACTTAAGCCCAAATAAAACTCCCGAAACAAAAATATGCAATGGGCATGCCGCACAGCATTTCAATTCTTTTTTTTCGTTGATCGTATGTGGAATTATATTGCAAAGGTTTCTGATAAGTTTAGATCCAGATGACGATTTAGACTGTTCCAAGCTTCGTCCGTGGCAGAAACGACACTTTTTCTTCTCTTCTGCCATTCCATAAATCACGCGGCGGTCAAGGTCAAGAAAATATTATTGTCGGGATGTTCACGTTAGATGTTCGTGAGCACGATTTACATATAAAATGACCGCCAATCGCCACTCAATCAATGTTGTGCAAGGAACGATGAAAATTACTCTAAACAAAATTCTCTGCTTTAAAAACATGCACCTCAACGCGACAGTGTGTCACTGTAGCGTGAAATATTTGTGTGACGTTGAGGTTCTGTCAAACTGCGCGTGCGACATTGCGACACTAGCACTTGACTGTAGAACTTATATTTTCCGACGGGTGGTCTCTCGCTGTGCTGTGTCTTTGCTAATCTACATATCGTGCTGTGCTTGTGTTTTGTCCCTTTATCGTAGTGTTCTTGCATATTCATTTATGAAATAAACTGCTTCACTTGTATTCATGTGCTTCTCTTATAGCACTATTCATAAGCTATTCGATCACCAGTCTTATTTCCAAATGATAGTATTGCTTAGGAACTACGTCCAACTTCTTATCTTGTGTAGCACAAGACGCGAATCGTGGTTAAAACTTGCACGGTCTGATCATTCCGGCATACTTAACACCATGAAAACGTCATTGAAATTCTGCGACCCGACTGGTCATGCAGCGTTCAAGACCAAGAGGAGTATAATCGTCAAGCCGTTCCCTACTGGCGTTCATGAGTACGACTTCCAGCTAAAATGGGCGCCCATCGGCTCCCAGTCGACTGGGAGCCGATGGGCGCCCATTTTAGCTGAAACGCTGCATGACCAATCGGGTCGCAGAATTTGAATGACGTTTCCATGGTGTTAAGTATGCCAGAATGACCTTGAAAAAGTGTTCACAAAAGCCTTCACGTCTTTGTGGGCGTATAGATCAGGAACTAGAAGATTTTAGGTTCTCAGGCGGACAGGGCTGTGCACTGTGCCGAACGGTCATCGAAAGGGCCATTTCAGTTGGAAATCCATACGAATGTGGTACATATTTTAAAGGGAATGTGTCACACTTAAAACTATTAAAGTCAGCACCAGATATGATGAAACAAGCTGACCTAAACTATCGATAAGCTTTCAAGACGAAAGACTGCCCTAAACGACTCCATTTTTTGTAGTAAATATGCTCCTCGATACGTCATTGTTTGGTAAGGTGATCGTACCTTGCGCAACCTTGATTGAGAGCCAGTTGACGGTCATCATATTTCGAAATCGTGCCCACGAACGGCAGATGTGAACGACTCGCCTATTACGCTTTTCTCCGCCTTGCTCGCCGCATGGGCTCTGGAAAGGCAGGATGTTGGTAACGGTATTATGACGTCACGAATGCCAAGGTTACCATGAAATACTCGCACCGAAATGCCGGCTTTTTCGCGGTGTGTAGCTCAGAAACTAAAGGAGTTTAGGTGTTAAGACGGGCAGGGCTGTGGACTGCATCAAAAGGTCTTCGAGGTGGTCATTTCAGCTGAAAGCCGTTACACATCTGGTTCACTCCCTTTCAGATTCCCGAATGTTTGTTAGTTGTTTGCTTATTTATTCACCTTTTTTGGAGTTCCTGCATGCACAATATGCATCATCTCTCACGTTTGGGTAATCCATTAAAATGTATGCCAAAGAGCATAGCATTATACTCGCTCGTTAATTCCGAGTAGAACCGGATGAATTGAAACTCGGGCGGCAGGGTAAAAAAACCGGCCTATGACGCCGATCTACAAGTTTTCTGAAACAGCTCGTCCGATCGCCTTGAAACCTTCATCCATCGATTCCGCGCGATAAGGTGAGTCATAGGGGACAATATGGAGAAGTGACTTGAGGTCAAATACCTCGAAAAAGTGAAGGGAAAACTTTACATGCAAATGCAGATAACTCAGACCTCAGAGCTTACTGGGCCGATCACTGTGAAACTCTTACCATTGGATGCCCCATGCCCGATTCCCTCTCGCAACTCAAATTTGGTGCCCCTTGGTCAGCCAACAACAGTCATCAAATTTCACCAAGTCCAAACTTCTTGTCTGCAGGCAACTTATAGCTCGGAACCTACCGAACCGATCACTTCCAAAACCTTCACCATTGAATGCGCCATATCTAATTTCCTGCTCCAGTTTCAAATTTGGTGACCTTAGATCAGGTCAAAGGTAGTCAATTTTCGCAATGTCCAAAATTGTTGGTTGCAGACTTCTTAAAACTAAAAATCTACCACGCCGATAACTGTCAGACCTTACCATTCTATACGCCATCTACCCAAATTCTTTGCGAAAACTGCAAGCATGGTACCACTTATAATTATGTCTTTCCTTTATGCTTGCTCCCAAGCAAATGTGCAGCTTGGCTAGGCTGGCCTTATGAGATTGAATAACTCCTCAGCAGAGGCGTTAATCGTGGTGACACCAAGCACAATTCAGCGCATGATTTTCAGCACAACACCACTACTACGGAGAAATTCAACCTCATAAGGCCAGCCCAACCAAGCTGCAGGTGTATTTTTTTTGGGGGGGGGGACACAAAGAGAAGACAATTATAAGTGGCACCACACTTCCAGCTTCAACAGAGAATTAGGGTAGATGGCGTTCTGAGTGGTAAGGTTTGGCAGCTACCAGTATAATTTATTCAGGACTATAATTGACTACACGAAGTAATTTTGGACTTTGTAAAATTTGACGGATTTTGACCTGACCTATGGTTACCAAATTCGGAACTGCAAACAGGGCATCAGGTATGGGGCATGCATCGGTGAAGTTTTGGCAGTGATCGACTGGGTAGGTTCTGAGCTATGAGGTGTCTACAAGCAAGAATTTTGGGCTTTGTGAAATTTGACGATTTTTAACCTGACCAAGGGTCACCAAATTTGGAACTGCAAACAGAGAGCCAGGTATGGGGCATCCAATGGTGAGTTTCACAGTCATCGGTCCAGAAAGCTCTGAGATCTAAGTTGTCTGGATTTGCATGTTATGTTGTCTTTTCATGTTTTCGGTGCTCGACCTCAGGTCAGATCTCAATATTGTCTCCCCATGACCCACCGCACGGCACGGAATCGATTGGAGCAGGTTTTAAGGCGATCGGACAACCCGTTTCGGAAAATTTGCATGTCTGCGCCATTGCCGGTTTTTTAGACCCGTTCAATCGGGCTGCCGGGCCGCTCGGGTTTTCTGAATCTCTCAGTTGGCAGCTCTAATCACTTAAATGCGGGTGCAGGGGAATTTTACGCAAACATGTCAAACTCAAAGCGTGCATCTTTATGTTTGTTAATGTTTTGTTGGCTTAGGTCTGAATTTAGACAGAGGCTTAGACGCATAGACCGCTCTTTTCGGACGCCTGTTAATTGTACGTGGCGTCATCTAAACGCAAGACAAACGTTGACACGAACATGGCAAGTATTCCAGCACGCAATTCGTTACGTGGGCCTCACGTTCACTCACCGTGTGGACTCCAGGCCGGTCGCTTGGTTGACCTCCAGGCCCACAGCAGGACAGCTGCCAAGACGAGCACCAGCCAGAGGTACATCTTTTCGACCACACTTGACGGTGCTCCTCTAATGCAGTGCAAACATTAGACTGCCCGACCAGACTACCGCCAATCTGGGCTCCACCTAGTGGCCTTGAAATCGCTGCGCCATGACCGGCTGCAACACGGCTGGAGAGGGACCTTATGTCGTTGCTCATCACTATTTACAGCGTCATACTGACGAGCAGTTATGCTTTGACGCATGTTTACCGAATGACCCCGATCACGGAGCTTAGCCAGGCGCACTTTGTTCGGCACATTCCACACCAACCGCTCACAGGAAGGATTACGTTCTTGTTTTTGGTGTTTTCGGGCGCGTCGACAGGAATGGTCATTTTTATCCCAGGGGATTACTGTTCACTGATAGGTTTTCAGTGGATCTGTAAGCACTCGGATAACTGAAAACAACGTACCACTTTCTTATAGATCTATAGGTAAGATACGAAGTAAAATAGGCGTTCATGGGTGCAGACTCTAAACGTGTTCCATTGAGTGTGCATTTCATACTCCATTTCATTCCAAAACATTGCCTATTAAAAGTATCGACTGTGGATACACGGACTTTGTAGCAAGATTCTGCTGATGTGAAAAACCAAAGGTAAGTGACACCATTCCTGCTATAGGTCTAAAACCAGATGTCATATCTGAATTAAGTATTTAAATATTAGTTTCAATGTTTCGGACACTGCAAATTATTGAAAGACCAGATATTTCCAGGGACTGAGCATCCGACAACAGTTTTATATGCCTATCATTCTTGGAACGACCTGAAAATCAACAGTATACAAACTTTTCAAGCCCGTAAAATTGGGAACACCAGGTATACTTTGGTATTGCTCTTTCCCAGGGGTGAACATTTCCGATTCACTGCATATGATTGGTGACAGAAATTGACACTTGCGAGCAAACTGATGACGGAAAAAAGTGAAACTGCAGCAACTGCAACAGGTCAAACCATATTGCGACAGACAATCTCATTTAAATAGAACTCAATATTTTGCCAGGTCTTAATAAGGGCAGGGCTGTGAACCGCACCGAATGACCTTCAAGATGGCTCTTCCATTTCAAAACCCTTTACAAATGTGGAACACTCTTTCATTACCGAACAAGAAAGGCATTGGTGATGGGTGGTAACCGTCTCATACTTGGGCCAATCACAGGCCAGGCTTTGGGAGGTGTATAGCCAAAACCTTTTCGGCATAATTTAACATTTTATTTCTAACTGGTGATAAAATGCCTGAGGTCGTCGCGGGCCTGACACGAATCGCGTGCATAGCATACCCGCACTCAAGGTCTCTCTGGTTGTTCAGTCGAGATACCGCATGGCATGACTTGCTCGTGCCGATCATGAATCAAAACAACACTATGATGATGGCTGATAATATGCGATGCGATACATGAGGTACCGTTTGGTGGGGCTTTATTTTTCGCGTCACAGCATATTCTGTGTGCACCTGGACCTGGATCATAGGAAATGAGCGGGTCGGTCTTGGTCGTCTCACCTCAGTGCGTCGAAGATCGGGACATGGAAAACGCTGCGTAATACTAGACTAACTTGTTATGTTATGACTTTATTTTCTCGAACGCAAATCGTTCAACTTTGCTTTGACATAATCGTCTCAAGTGCAAGCGGCGACAAATGCATGCATACACGTTGTATGTACGTTCTAGTTATCTACGACGTATTCATTGCAAGCTCACTAGTTATACACCTAGGCCCACGTCAAACCAGTCAGAGCTTCCCACGCAGGTCCACCACAACACCTACCCACGTCAGCCTACAATCAGAGCTGCACTTGTCTTACACTGAGTTGCGATCAAGGTCAGCGGGTCACTGGGTAGGGGGGATGGGGCGGGGTCGGTGGGGGTGCGGCGCTCCGGTTCGCACTAACGACTGGCCTTGTAACGCCACTTCAGAATCAGAACAAGATAGAATATTGCGATTGAGAGATTGAGCTCACGTCGGCTGAAGGCTTCTCGGATCAAATCGGGATCGTTGGTGCAGGACGCCCATCTTAACTTGATAGATGTCACCATTCATCTTGGCCCATCCGGCATAGGTGTGGTGGGCGAGGTTTAAGTCCATGGAGAATAGGTTTCCCACTCGTGACATCAGTTTCCCACCCATGGCCCTGTAAATCAGGAGGGTCGATGTCTCAAAGCGGGAAAGTCGCACGTAAATTATTGTTTTAATCCACTGCCCAGAATTTTCGCAAAGTTAAATATCCAATCAACCTTCTATTGATTGTCCCAGCTCACCTTTGCTTGGCCCATGTGTCACCTTACCTCAGTGGTATCCCACCTAGTGGGATACCACTGAGGTGGGTAGTGAGGACATACCTGAGATATCAAGCTATAGATCATGGCTGTTACGCACAGAAAAGTCGCGCGACAATTAGGATTGTAACTATTGGGCCACATGCGCTCCAAAGCGTGGATGAAACGTTTGCGATGAGCTTCCGTGCTTGGCCTGACAGACTCGTGAGTTATGGCGGGTTGTCGGATTTAGATATACGATGTTTCAGGTTGCCAACGTAACCACGTCTGACCCGTAACAACCTGTGGGCGTTTGGCCGAGTTTTGCGCCATACGTTTGCTGTGAAGACGTTTTCAGGAGGACATTTATGCATCTTCTCCCATTCTTTACGTTCAAAAAACATTCAAAAACCAGGTCGTGCTGCAAGACCCATCACACTTATGAAAAAGTCACATTCTCACTTTTACAGTAAGAGCACTAGAAACCAAAAACCCTTGGCATAACATGCCAGCAAGCCAGATTACATAGATTAGATCACTTTAAGGAAATAGTTCACTGAAAACCCTAGAATAACAGCGCAAATGTAACAAAAAATGGCCTGATTTCATTGTGCAGCAGTGAGGTGGTCCTTAATAGCCCATCTCAATACCTAGGAAACTCTAGTTTCTGAGCTACACACACGTGAAGATGCGCAGAATTAACGGAAGTACTATTTCAAGGTCACCCAGCTATCCACAACGCCACCGTAAAGATATTCAAAACCCGCCACAGGGGTGAAAAAAGTTCAATTTACCGGATACGGTCGGTGACAAGACAGTCGCTTTTGGGAGCCAATTAGTGACAAAATTGCAAAGATGGAAGCAAATTACAACAGGCTAAACCACATTATAACAAACCATTCCAGTAAGACGAAACTCAACTCCACTTCCATCCCAAGACCTTTGCTGTTCAAAATTATCTCTATGAGTGAACGAACCTGGCTGCAATTTCCTGCTGATGTTGAAAACTACACCGAATTGAGAGCACTCCTGGCATAGATTTACAACCAGATGCCAACACCGAATTAAGCATTTGAATTCACTTGCAATGTTTCCAGATTCCACAAATTATTGAGAGACAAGTTATTTCCAGCGATTGAACCTCCGGCCACGGCTTCTTATGTTCAATCTTCCTGTAACGAGCTGAAAATGGCCATCAAAAAAACCTTTCAAGCCCGTAAAATTGGCAACACCTGACATGCTTATGTTCTTGCTCTTTAGGAGCGTTGAAAAGGTTTCAGATTTACTGGATATAGATGGTCACAGAAATGGGCACGTGCGAGCGAAGTGATGGCCAAATTGCAAATATGGAACAAATTACAACAGATGAGACGATATTACAACAGACGATCCCATTTAGACACAAGTCAAGACTTAGCATAGGCCTATGATATACTAGTTAAAGCTTGCAGCGAGAGCTTGTGCAGAGCACATGTCCAAGAATTGATCGTTCGCTTTATGAGTAAGTTGAGCTATAAAATGATGCCAAACTAAGTTGCTTTTATTTGGATGATTTTTAGCTGGTGACAGAAATACACTACAAACTATAGTACATTGGTGCTTAAGTCACAGATCAGCGGTGACACGCTGCTCTTCCATTACCTCTCAGATCAGCGCTTTTTAACGGATTTTTCCACCAAGCCGCTTCACATGCATAACAGTATAAAATACCAAATAACTGGGCTTTTTACTGGTCGTAAGAATCGTGGCTGACCACAGCATCTTGCGACGAACGTAATCAATTTGACACGTGTCCTTTTAAATTGCCGTGCCATTTAACACGCGCTCGGGCGGGGTTCAAATTGACCCCCCTAAGATTTTTCCAGAATGGTTTCCGAACGGCGCGCGCGCGGTTTTCAAATTTTTCATAGCTGTAGACAATTGAATGGCGGTTCGTTTGGAATCAAAAATGTAGGTATACCTTGCAAGGTCGCTGACCTACGGCAGGTCAAAGTTAGACTCTGGCTTCATCGAAGACTATTTCTAGGGAATCCGTTAATCTGATCCAACAACGGAGCGTATATGATCGAACAACGTACTAGCATCCTCTGGGATGATTTCTTAGGCAACACAACAGTGGAATGAGCAAATTAGATTGACTTAAGGTCAGGCATGAAGGTCACACCAAGGTCAAAACCAAACTGTTTTGTTACTCTAAGGCTTGCTGTATGGGGTAGTTTATGGTGCTCATTTCGAGTTTATTGATTGCAGAAACCGCATTATGCATCTTCCATGAACTTCTTAAAGGTCAAAATAGGTCATTAACCTAAAATGACCCAGGTCAACATTTTGTTTTAGGAATACTGCATAGCGTACTCCTTGTCGCTTAGTCAAATGCAAAACTTGAATTATTTTGGTCACCTTGACCTCCAAAAGGTCAAAAAGGTCACTGACCTTGAGTAATAATTTGACCTTTTGCTTAGAAACGGTTATCGAAGTTTTGGGGGCGCTTTGGAGATCAACCTGGAACTTGACTTTTTTGACCTTTTTTGACCCGAATGTCATGACCTAGGAATCTGAAACTTTGTTCTAAGTGAGTTCATGTACAGGTCAACAGACCCGGTGACATTGGTGTTTCTAGCTTTCTTAGTTCCCGATGTCTCTGGGGGGTCATATTGACCCCCTCCCACCCGGGCGAAGGGTATCTAGGCGGCCACCCGGGCGCGTGTTGAGACAGATGGGCTCGAATGCTCGCCGTGCAGTAATGAATTGGTTTCAATGCAGGGCTGTGGGCTGCCGTTGGCTGTGTTTGCGTCGTGAGAA